ATAGGACGAGGAACATTGCTACAAAAATATACCTTTGTGCACGTGAATAAGAGACACGATGATGTGAAAACGGATAAAACCGGAAATGTTTGAGTGATGGGTTCTTGATTGGTTAATATGTCTGCCGAAATGAAGATGTATGAGGTGGTCAAGATATTGCACTATTGTTGTCTTTATGATAGACTATGTACAGCTACGACGCGTGTACAGGATTTGACAGAGAAAATTGGTGATCGTCATGATGACGGAGTGTGATTATTGTAATAAGCCAAAGGATGATTGCGACTATTACAACCGGATGTAGGTCAAGAAAACTATTTATATATTCCACGCTGCTGGTGGTCAATATCGCCATTATCGTTCTCTATCTGTTTTGGCGCATATATTGACTATAAGTACCCATTACTCCGTTTTAGGTCGTATATATTGTTTCGTCCTAGTTTCCACTGAAACGCCTGCGACATATATGGTGTTGATTTTACGACATATCAGTTTTGCGTCATTGCTCATTCAGAAAACGAAACATTATATTTATGATTTAACATAACTTAATTCAACACTTTATTATTCATCATTACGTAATTGTCACATTATAATATCTCTTTCAACATCACCTTAGAGTCATAATTATTTTGTTCAACATTATCTTACTCAAAATTATCATATTCAACATCATCTAATTAGACAATATATCCAGTATCTCATCCAAATAACTTCAAACTCATTTCAAAAGAAGCCCGATAAAGCATCTGATAAATATTGTCAATTTAGCAAAAAACGAATCCTGTTGGAAAATGTATTCTCAAGAAAGAAATTGACAGCAACAATGCGATTAACATGGTGTTAAACTCGCTGCCGCAGCTGTTATACTGCGAAGTTAGCTAAAAATAGTCCTACAAGCATCCTTCAAAAATGAAAAAGATAACATTTCTGCTTTTTTCCCTTGTTCATTATCTGATGCAATGGATTTCAAATTCACATACAATTTTGTGTCTTGATTCCATGAGGGTGGCTTAAAAGCATTGCGGATTTTGAACCTTGTATTTGCCATTTATCAGGGACAGGAACGTTAATAGAAGTTGTCATTAAGCGCTCAAAGTGTTAGTGTGCAATTTCGACAAACACTTCAAGCAGCATATAATACATACAGATTGCCTTATAGCACCAGCTCTGTCATCGCTTGGAGTTAATTCTTTGACAATTATTGCGCAGCAACAGTGTTGTTAATAAGTTTTATAAACCGTTTACCAGCGTATTAGATGTTAAACAGTACACCCGTTATACTGGCCATATGTTTGTCAGCGAATGTACATCAACGAACGTACAGTATCGTATCGGTGTTTTATATAACGATATGTTTCTCCTTAAAATAATGGTGAAAGGAAGCCCGTTTTGAAACGAGACCTTAAAAGTACATATTCGCATGTCGTATCATCAGATTTCCTTTCTTAATCCTAACGAATGCAGTAAAACTTTCAATTTTTTACATCTAAAAGAACAAATTAAATACATGCAAAACTTTTTTTATATCGGACTACTGATAGCCTGTAACCACCAAATTGACACGATATGGAATCCTGTCCATTAGTTGTGTTTGTAAACATCTTGATGTTAAAACCAGAATGCAATTAAATTTCGAAAATGAATAAAATTGTATTCAAATTTTAACGGATTGTCAATTTCACATTTTAAACCAAAGTCCGGGAACGATGATCTACATTTGTTAATAAAAACGAAATCTCCTGTTTAAATGCATCAAAATAAAAGCAAAAAAACACTTGATGGCTTTCCAACTATCTAAAGGCATGTAAGAATTTCTTTTTATATATTTAATCGCGTAATTTATATCAAACATGGCACTTTATTCTTCTAATTTGTTTTAAGAAAAAGGAGAAATACAGGAAGCACATACTTTGTGTCGGTAGGTCCTGTTAAATCTGGATCAATTCATACAGTCGGTACGTCTCAACACAACTTCTACTGATGGCTTCCTATTTTGACATTAAAAACAAAACTAATCTATAAGCATGTTTATCGGAGGTTTAATCGGTTTAAAAGGGCTTAAGAAACGTCGGCGAGGTCATGCTAACGCTAATGGAAACAGGTATTTTTATGATCAAGGAGATAATGATGAAAACTTTTGTCAGGACGAAATAGCGTAATGTACCAGTTATTTTCATATCGAATTTAGCTCACTGTGTTTCGCACAGACATTGTTGGAGCTGACACCTACTCCATGTTCAATACATGAACAATAATGTGTTATGTATTGTATTCTTCACAATCGATTAGAAAGTACTGACTGAATTTGTATTCACCTTGTGAGAAACTTAGAAACAGTTGATGTTCATTATCTGTAAATGTAGGGTGTTGTAGGACGCGTTGCTCGGCTATCTACAAAGAACTCGATTACCGGAAGACACCAATAAGTCTATTAGATACACGTAGACGTAAAATGGACGAGCATACCTTCTAATATAACACGACAGTGTAACTCTGTAATCCATCATGTCGACATAATTTTCGGGTTGTGTTAGACCTCTATCGTTTACTGACCAAAGAACGCCCCACACACCCGCCAAAACATCCCCGTGTGACTCCCGCCAAATACCAAAATATAGCGCAGCCGTAGATACAGATCGATGTAGATAAATGGAGTCTGGAATGGCCCTTGTCACTTCCTGTTAACTGTGTTTATATCGACAAGTCAAATGAAATACTTGTAGGGATAGTCGGGAAACTGATGTATCCTACAAGTCCATGTATCGTCAAGAAACTAGCATTTCGTAAATTTAAAAGCTTTGAAATTTTAAAAAAAGCATTGTCCTCATATCGACTTCTTTTTAATATTTGATTCATTTTATTTATTGTGTTTTCGACAATTTTCACAAATAATGTTTTAAGGATTTTTTTTTGCATCATTTTCGTTCGCCATTGTCTTACTTTTTAACGATTCAGAAAGAGAAACAACAATAAAATCCCCTTTTAAAATTAATTATATATGTATGCGTCCAACAACATAAACGTATAGGAGAACTTGTCCGAGACGTTTCTCTGGCTGAGTAGACTAGACTGTTTGTGTTAGACATGGACGAGGTATATTTACAGGATCCATACTTTCTGTCCCAACAAGACATTATATATCTTCCTAAAGGCATGTTAGTGTCAGGTTACGTTCAGGTTCGCGTGCCCTCTTAGATACTATCCGGCACGTGCGTCTCTATGGACTAGGTGGTGCATTATGAGAAAGGTAGTTCACAAATGAGAGCTCACACAACATTGGTAGGATTTCTTGATAGTCCTGCGCATTCACAATAACTGTCTACATATAGCCGCAAATATCGGGGGTGGCAGATATGTAGGGGTGACAGAGAAATTTTATGAGTTAATTGAAAGCAATCTTCTTGAGAATACCTGATATGCGGTCGTTAACAGTGGCAAGCTGTTGAGTGTTTCGCTCAGTACAGAGAAAGATAACTCGGATAGATAATGACATAACGATGCATGTTGAAAATACGTAAAACTTCTAACACCAACAGAACAACGACAGAAAGAAAAATAATAGCACGCATATGTAATTGTAACAAGGTTAAAAGATAAGCTAGTTGAATATTAATTAAAGTAAAATTGGTACCGACTATCCAGCTTTACCTGACTAAATTATTACAAAATCACCAAGGATGTTACATGTTAGCGGTATAGGTGAGACATGGCCATTAAGATGATAAGTATATCTGTGACTTTTGACTTTAAACATATTTTGATAACCAGAATCGGAAAATAGGATTTGACACAAGTTATTACAACTTATGAAGCCATCTCCTTACAACAATAATTCAAAACAACAGATGATGATATAGACTGTCAATTACAATTCATAGTAGTATGAAGCGATTTTTAAAGTAACACATACACATACAAACAAACAAAAACAAAAACATATTTTAAAGTCAAGTTCATAATCGAAACATGTTAAAATCTTCCACTGGATCTAATAAAAGTTTGCACTTGTCTGAATACATCACAATTCTTATCCAAAGCCAGATATCTGTGTAGTAGGTGTTGGAGCTATGTTAACGGTATATAGGTGTAGATGAAAATTATATCTGTGTAGTAGGCGATGGAGACCATGAGCCGTCTTCCTACTCTCGCCCCCAGCCCTCAAGGACGATTAACTCTATAGGCGGCCATTCAGAAACAACTAATGTAATTACTAGGGTAACTGACGACATGCATTGCACTGTAAAATTGAAATCGAAGGTCTCGTCTCTGCGTACGACTTCACGTCTCGAGAAGAATACGGGGTTCACAAAACACACACTCCCGACGTTTTATCCTTAAAATTGAATTGCCTTTTATCTGTTTATAATAAATCAAAATATACAACATTTATATAGCGGCCTATATAATTTGTAAAATAACTCTAAAATGCTTTATAACACATGGATAATTGTTTCAGATATGATTATAACAACCGTCGTCTCAAAGCAGTTCATAAATTATTATCCGTGGTTATAGGACCTTTGCAACCAGCCGATATCTTCCTCAACTCACTGGGGAGCATCGGCCGGTGCTGCCATTTCGGCGCTCACAGCTAGCATTCAACGATTCCAGCACTCCCCAACCACGCACTCATTTACAGCTGAGTAGACTGAAACACGCGGAGTAAAGTATATTGCTCAAGGATACAACACAGTGCCGTGACGTGACTCGAACCCGCAACACTTCAGTCACGAGCCCGGCGTCCTACCACTAGACTACCGTGTCCCCTAATCAAAACAAATCTCCTAACAAGGAGATGACGTGTTATGACAGCCTGTTTCATAGTCAGACAGGTGATTGTACACTACGTGATCGTCTGACCAGTCGAGTCGTACAAAGCCTTTGTTGCTTATAATATTATAAATTCTCTAGTGAATTTGAGAGACTTTTACAACGACTGATAGAGTGAAATTGTACCTAAATGATTTGCTTACGTTTGATAATTTTATGTTTTCCAGGTGAGCAGTACTGCAATGCTACCAGCGATATTTTCGGCTGCTGGAACTATACACAAGCCGGGACTACAGCCGTTATCCCGTGTCCAGCGATCCCGGGAATGAATCCAAACGGTAAGTTTACTAGAATCCGACCAAAGTCACTCCACCGTTATCATATGTCTTACAATCGGGATGATTCCGAACGTTAGTCTCCCTACTTAAGTTAAGCCGCAGTTCCTCGACCATGACCTCGTTTCTATTTCCATTGAAGGTGAGTTTACGTTAGTATGTTCGATATTAGTAATTCCCCTTGAATAATTTATATTCAACACTGGCTTAAGTAATAATCCGTTGCAGTCAAAGTTGTAGAATGGTAACGTTTCAAATAGTTTTGACATGTTTTCCTTCCTCTTCAGCAATTTTTTCCCATATATTTCAGAAACTTCAGATATGTGTTTTTATTATATTGGCCCTTAGTATCAATGTTAGATCCTAAAACGACGAAATGGTTAAATAGTGAAATAACAGTTGTTATTTTGTTTATTTTCTGCATCAACAACCTAACTTTTAAGTACCCACCAAAACAAATTTAGCTTAAATCAGAGTCAATCTCAGTGTGCAATCAAGTAGAACCTGGATTCCGCAAATTTCATATTACAAATTGACTCATTATGAAACAATCGTTAAGATCAAATAGTCACAACCTACTATATTACTACTGTGTTCACTAACAAACCAATCCCATTTAATTTACTATATAAACAAAATAATTAGATTATGCGTGGTATCCCTTGGTTACCGATGGTGGTGCTGAACTCACATGTAATTGAGAGCGTCTTTGCCTTTCAGAGTTTGCCTACAAAAAATGTACAGAAAATGGAACTTGGTGGCGAAATCCAAACACAAGTAAAGAAAAATCAGATTACAGTTACTGCTGGAAGGACATCCATACATTCATAGAGGTAATCAACAGATATTTGTGTATGTGTCCCAATATAAAGGGGGAGGAGTAAACAAATATGTTTATTTTTAAGACGTAGATACGGTATAAAATCACAACGAAGTTGGCATATATATCGCATCAAGGGTATACAACAATACAACCAAACAAAACAATGTTTAAAATACATCAAACATGTAAGAACCGAACGTTTGATTAATGGCAATAAACATCTTTTATACTCGTTTTTCAGGACACCAACAGCGGCCATGAACACGTTTACATATTCGTTAGCGGCTATTCCATCTCCGTGGCTATGCTTCTATTATCCCTTTTCATATTCTGCAGATTCAGGTAAGTTATATATATATATAGTATATGTAATTAGCTCTCCCTCCTCACTTAATGATACGGTTTTTACGTCGTTTGTCTTATTTTTTTCAAGCTTGATGTAAAAATAATAGTCCAGCTGGTTGTGGATAATTTACCAGCGTGCAAACCAAGTATTACTCTTAGTCAAAACAAAAGGTATGTTGTCCAATATATTAATGTTAATAATATTATATACTACAACCACAAACTTATGCGTGTATGATCTCAATATAATGACTCTCGATTTGTTGAATTTGCCAGCTCTTTTTGGCTAAAATGCATGTGTATGTCAGAGTCCAATTATTGCTATTAATGTTTAACTGGATATTCCGTCTTTTCGTATTGCAGAGTTATCTCCTCTTATGAGCAGGTATTGATTGTAATTTGTGAGAGTAACGTCATACATTTTAGAGAAAACGACGTCATTTTCTCACACAAACTAATGACGTCACAATAAATACCTGCTCACAAGAGCAGATAACTCTGCAATACGAAAAGACGGAATATCACTAAACAATATCATTTAATCAGTAATGGCAATATGTCGAGTGTTCCCTGTATGTACCACGTTTACCTACAAATCCTCCGGTACAAAATGAACCAAAAAAGTTAGTAATAGTTTGTATAAAAAATATATATTATGTTTAATATCAAAGGTGGAAAAAATTAAACGTATTCAAAATGGGTTTTTTAATTGTTCTGTTTCACTTACATTTGCTTTATATCACAAGCGTTATAAAAAGTATGATAAAATCTAAAAAACGGAAATTGTTATATTAATAGCTAGGCGTTACCGTGTACTTCTCAACCTACATCAGGAATGTATTACATGTAAACATAGCATAGTGCTGGGTTTCAGATTGGAAGTTAAGGGGTCAAGCGGTTAAATCTTACACAGCGAAAACATAATTAGCAAAAGGGGATCAATTCCGTTTAAAGCGTTTGAAAAGCAAAATAAATTGGTGAGATCAATGATAGTTATCTCCCCTGTGGGTTTCTCCGGTCGTGTTATATGAATACTTGATTATATCTTAGCAGGAAACCTACACTTTCTGCATTGAATAAACTCTTTAAAGTACGCCGAAACTGTCCGATTAATGTCGTTCCTCTTGCCTGTGCCTTTGTGTAAAGCAGATGTTAAACACCGGCGGAAATTGTTAAGTTAATATACTTCATCGGTGTTTCAATCTAAAACCGTTTAGAGGATAATTCAGTCCTAACACCTACAGGGATACATATATCAAAATCGCATCACAATAAATAACCGAGATTAAATGTTAAAAATAAGTAATGTCTTTTATAAATATTCTATTCAGACTTAGTGCTTAACGATAATGGCAGGTTGAAGTGTCTATCAGAGCCACATTATTGCCCAAGTCTTGTTAGTATTGTAATTGACCAAAACGTCATTAAAATATCCGCAAAATGCAATCCAAAAGAACATTGGCGAATTAAAGAGGTGTTTCTCCAACGGCGAGCAATTTCTTGCCTAACAATGTTTTGATGTTTTACTTTATAACGTACTTTACGGTCAGGAATATCACGCGAGCTGCACGTTACAAGTCCCGTCGGTACTTTAACGCGTCCGATGGTAGTAACGTTACATTTTTTCAGTACATTGTTTTATCATATGGCTAAATTGTGCCATGTTATTGAACCTCCTCCGGGTTTATAGTGTTCTTTGTGGTAAACAGTTTTGTAAATATTTGTTTTTTTTAAACTGCATGATGATTTTCAATCATTACAATCTGTTCGGTGTATATAAAAATATATGAACTAATTTGTTGATTTCCATGTTTCATATTACTGCTGATAGGCAGATAAAAGATGGCCGACGTTATATGCTAAGATTTAATTCCGTTCATCCTAGAAGTTCCTTATTTATAGATCATGCATGAAATATGAGATATTATTTGGCCTTAACTAGTCGATTGCTAAGCACAGAGACTGTTAACAATCTAATTATAAATATGATATTTGTTAATACATTTGAATAAGCAATTAAACCCATTTATCAGGGGTGATAACTCTTTGTTGAATTGGAAACTTGTTTAACTCGTGTTTGCCCAAAGTGGAACAGATTCTTTGAGTTACCTTGATATTAACAGCATTGATTGTAGTCCAGTATTGAAGTAATGAACAAAATTTCAAAGATCACAGGACGCGTTAGTCAATGTGAAGTGGTATATTAAATATTTATATAATTGGTAATCACTACCAAAAAAAATATACATATAGAAACGTATTTATAAAATATTTGATATTTTTTAAAACAAAAATTGTCTCCTCAAATGACTGGAACGGCGTATTTAAAATGCGAACACGCTGTTAATTTATCGAGAAGAATATGATTTCAATGACACAAGGAGTATGTAAAGTAGCGCATAGGCCAATAAACTGAAATGCATAAGGTACATCCGTTATACATACACAGTACGTCGTATTTTGTAAACAACATAATTTTCAAAGATGGGTGATAATTTTGATGTACATGAGTAAATGTATATGTGTATTAGCCTATTTTATATATGTGTTTCTATATTCTGTTTGTCTTCTTCATAGTCAACTCCGATGTGACCGCATCACCATTCACAAGAACCTGTTCACTTCCTATGTACTGACAGGGTTCTCCTGGATATTGTACATGCTTCTAGTGGCCACCAATGGCGTCGTCATTCAGAATAACCATGTAAGTACGCAAGCGTTGTAAACAAAATAAATAAATGAAACACCAAGTAGAAGGTGAAGAGTATTTTCCAAAATTGGAACCCTTTAACTCATTCACCCCTGAACTTTCATAATTGACTATTCCAACCTTTGAATTGGAAGAGGTCAAATGTGTCTTCAGGGGTGAATGAGTTAAATTAATAATAATAAAAAGAGTCCATCTCTAACACTGATGTCTGATCTGACCTATATATTAGCATTAGCTTTGCGTTATTTCCTACATTCCTTCACTTTCATATGTTCTGTATGGACAGTATTATTTTGTACCTGATAGCCACATGCCTCACACTTAAGCCACGTAACTACATCTGTATTAACATACTCCTAAACTGGTGACCACGCCCACAACCTAATTATCATGTGACGTTTTTTTCACGACACCTATCGCCTGCTGACAACTTTTCAACCCTGATATCACCGAAATAAATATTTTACCTCATATCAGGTATCTTACCATACCCTTATTTGCAGAGATTCCGCAAAGAATTCTGATGGTAACATACTTGTCTTTAAGAATAAACAATCAAACAAACGCAACCTTTTAAGCAAGTCCCTGATATGCTGTTGTGTGTCCCCAGATATGGTGCCGGATGATCCACGTGTTTGCACAGTACTGCGTGGTGTGCAACTTCTCCTGGATGTTCTGCGAGGGCCTGTACCTACATACCATCATGGTTCGCACTTTTGGCTCCACCAAACACGTCCTTATCGCCTGCTACTTCATAGGCTGGTGTAAGTACATTCTCTTTCTTCTCGTTGGCCGAGGTATGTATTGTTATGGGCTTCTAATACCATAAATAGGAAGACTTACACAGAAACCATGTGTTTACAAAATGGCTGCCGTCTTTATCTTCCTAGATAATACTGCGTACACGTAAAGACATAGCGCATCAATAGAACGTCAACCGAACCGAGTGCGTCAGATGAACCACACATTATTTATTGATATAGAAACATGTGTTAACATTCTTTTAACTGGCTAATGTACGAATGCTCTCACGCCCTCACCTCTATCTAGTTGAAGTAAGCTTTCTACTCTTATTGGCTAGCATTATTATAAGCTCTCCTTCTATTGGTTGGTAAAATGGTATTCCCATCTGACATAGGTTAGTATCGGAATGCACTCCCCTTTTTATTGGTTAATGTAGGTATCAAGTCTTATCCCGTTAGCATGCAGCATCTAATGGTTACTGTATGCACATTTCACTCCTTTAGTTGATACTCTGATTAATCACCCTTACGTTGACGTGTGAGTTGAAGGTACACTGCGATGTACATGTAGCAGGCCTGGGTCGGTTGTCGGTTAAAGAAACATTAAGCTCAATTGAGAAAACATTCCTTAGATGTTTGAATAACTAAAAATGACTTATGCATGTGAGTATTTTACTCTGAGTTGGATATTTAACTCAACTAATGTGACGTGTACGTGTCTGTAAAGCATTTTTTGTAAACATTTGACTGTAATGTAGGTGATAATCGTGCGCCATATGCTATAAACTGATGCTCACTGTATCGTTTAGAGAACGTGCATGTTTGTGCCAGACATAAATGTGATTTTGTTTCAATTGCTAAATTATCTACATGTAATTTTCAAAAGAACGAATCTATGAACAAAGCTGTCAACAGATTTTTCAAATATACTGACAGCAAAATGTAATCCCTATGACGTGCGTTTATTTTAATCGATCAATTGTTATAAAACCTGTAAATTCATTATTCAATTTTAGTCCTATCTTAACTCCTGTCTAAAACTAAATGAAATCATTGACACATTTCTATATAAAGATTAAACTTATGTACAGGTATGTTATAATGAAATATTTACATTCTGTGTTTGCATTTGCATTGCCTATATGTCATTAGTAAACCAAATTGCAGTATATGAGACTGTATACTACAATTAACAGTGATACGGCCAGTGTAGGAATACAGCTGATACAAGGTAAACAAACATGGCCGCCCGATACTTTCGGTATCAATAGGCCTATAGTCGGAAAACATTCTGGGTTCGTAATCATTTAGCAATATAGGTCATCGAAAAGAAAAAAATGCAACTTGACAAAGTATGACAATATGAATTTATTATAAGATGTGTAGGTGTCACAAAATTATTGTAAGCGCCATTCTAGATACGAAATTACCAAGTTTGTCAACGTCATCACACGGGAGATCGGTTTCGAGATTTTGAGTTTTGCATAACATCAGTGAATAACCACAACACTAAAATTCAGCATTTCTAAAACCTAGTAAAAGTCGAGGGTATCGACAAGGTTTTAGAATGTGTACAAATACATTTTTAAGTGTTGTGTTTTTCAGTGATGTCATCCATTTCTCAAAATCACGAAACCGAGCCCCTGTGAACGTCGTCTGCTAGCGATGCTAATCTGACCGATTAGACATGGAATCTATTTCAAACGAAATGTCCCTGGAATCGTTATCACCTACTGAAAGGACCACTTTAATTAAACATTTCGGAGTATATATGCTTTTGAAAATAGCGTAATATTCCAGTCGAAGGAAACATAGGCGTGTCCGAGGAAACAATCAAGTCTGTTCAGCGCCGCATCACTTCAAAATACATGTAATATATCAATGCGCGAAAAACAGCTTTAATTTTAAACAAGCAGAAGTTATGCAATTATTAACAATTTTTCAACATATACACACTCATATGAAATAAATAATAAAGCTAAGTTTGTGTTCAAACCTTTTTATGTGCGTGTGGTTTTCAATGACACGAGGGACTATATTATTTCTTCTGGAAATGTCGGCTGCTCTAGGATTTGAACTTACTGACGTCACTGATATGATAAGCGGGAAATTCAAACGTATTTTTGCCTCAGTTACTATACAAAACAAACTTTATACATGTTAATGTAAATATAAGCATTGAACTGTTACCAGATGCAGTATACAGTCGATATGAATGCAATTTGAGTGACAGATAAATATTCATTCTATTTATCTGTCACCCAAATTGCATTCATATTGACTGTATACTGCATCTGATAACAGTTCAATGTTAATATGTACAAAGTAACAAGATGTACACGTGTACACGATGTCATGTGACCCTGTTGTCATCATCCAATTTACAAACACGTTTAGTACCTGCAAAGTACCATACCATACTATACAATAAGGTTATGTAGAAATTGAAATTAAATAATGCAGTGTTAACCAAACTAGTGGCACATTTTTTAGTTAAGAATCTATACAGATGTGCTGTCCCTTAGGATTATGTCAGCGTGATAGGTGTAAAACTTACCACGGTGGATGCGACATAAAAAATGTTTAGTTTCAAATGAATAAAAAAAAGAATAGAGAAATATAGGCTTGTATTGGAACGTTACTTTCGAATTTCAACCTTTTACAGCATTCATATATACAATTTGAGTGTCTGTCACAACCAAGGACTAGTTCACTGTACATTAAAGCGTAGATTACCGATAGCATATCCTCATACTGTTTGGCACAGTTGATACACAATATGTTTTCCCTTCCGGATGCTTTGTGTTTTAGACCTCGTTCTGTTTCCCTTTTCAAAGTGTCTCTTAGATTCCTGTATTTGCCTTTTGATATTTAGACGTTGATTTCCATGTTGCCAATATGATACATACTGTATCCATATAATTGTATTCCTAACCGTTTGTTGTTCTGTAGTAAGCTCTTTATCTTCGTCATGATGTTATAAAGTGTGTTATATCCGACAATAGTAGGAATTAGGGTTTGTGGCAGGAGTTGCACTGCTTGTACAATTAAAGCAGCGTATGACAGATATTGTTTTCGAAGACATTTTTGAGCAAGAGGAATATTCTGATTGATACCTTGATTAGTTCAGCAGAGAGGGGGGCGTAAATGACTGATTTAAACATGTTTGAATAGTAGTAATCATGTAAAGTGTATGTCATACTGATATTTTATCATACAGGTTGGCCCTTCGTGCTAGTGGCAATATACACGGGTATCCGGGGCTCAGCTGACGACATTCAGCGATCAAGGTAACGTCCATACTTGATAGTAATAAATCTTTATTTGTGAAGGTCAAGTAAACGAAAATATTTAAATTTGTTCTTTTCAAAACCTTACCTGCAGTCAGATTTAACGAGGTGCATGTCAACATTCATTGTCAACAAGTTATCTTTGATTATAAACAAGATGCCTATAAATATGCAATATTCACCTCTAATTGAATACGAGTTCCCTTTTATACTTTTAACAAGGGGTGCAGCAGATCTACAGCGTGTTTTATTTATCACACAGATACCGTTGAATGAAATGGAGATGCCTTAATATTGTTTTTATCACCTCATGTGGTATGATGCTATGGCATCGGTACGTGGGATACAATACAATAAGCATTATGCCGACGGTGACATTAAAGACTAGACGATGGCCAAGTAGTATTTTAGGATATGTCCTCATACATATTAGTAATATGTTTCAATAATCACAGCATAGTCCAATTCAGGATTCTTGTATACTTTATTGAAACTTGCGTAGCTCGATTCAGTTTGTATCTTTTAAATATGAGATAGATGATTTTAAGCTCGTTCCGATGTATCCGTTTAGGCGCGACAGAGGTCGCTTATATGAAAAACTTTATATAAGACGAACACTCATTTGAGATTTGTATTGATATCACAAATTTAAATCAAGTATTAATAAAGGAACAGCCAATGTTTAATGTATGTTAATCATTTATAACGAAATTCTCGTTTGGTTTGATATTGCAGTTGCTGGATAGGAGAGAGCAGTCTACAGTGGATAATGTACGTCCCTATAATAATCTCTATGGTGGTAAGTATGACGGAACATTACATTCTCTATGGTTACATTCTCTATGGTTATACTATCTATGGTTACATTCGCTATGGTTACATCTCAATGGTTACATTCCCTAACGTTTCATTCTCTATGGTTACATTATCTATGGTTTCATTCTCTATGGTTACATTATCTATGGTGTTACATTCTCTATGGTTACATTCTCTATGGTTATACTATCTATGGTTACATTCGCTATGGTTACATCTCTATGGTTACATTCGCTAACGTTTCATACGCTAACGTTTCATTCTCTATGGTTTCATTCTCTATGGTTACATTATCTAAAGCAGCAATATTCGACAAGACGCTTCTCAAAAAATTCCTCACATTAAATTACGTCACAAATCATCAACATCAATAATATTGCATTGTTATAAAGGATGTAACTTTCGTTGAATTGATAGTTTAAGATACACTGTGAATCAGTGGGAATGGATCGATTGCCGATGACGTTTAGCTCAGTTTGTCCAATATTATTATAAATGAAATATTTGAAATACTCTCATTGACTTGTATATGTAAATTTATTATGTAATCTATATACATGAAATTGCACCACAAACTGTCAGCGTCCAGGGTCGTTTGTTCGACTTCAGATGTCGGCATTGGTTTGTGAAGCAGTTCTATACAGCGTCGCAAAGCAATCGTTAAGAGATGGTTACATCACGATTGTTTTCTAAGGAAATTACCATAGCATGTTCACATGTTACTTAAAGTGTCATATGATGTTTGGTAAACCGATAAAGACAAAACATTGCAAGTGTATTCAATAATAATAATCTTTCTTCGACAGATTTTTGAAAAAATAAAATAACCATGTTGTTTGTGTTTAAAAAATAATATACATGGCATGTCAAAACAAGGCAATGAAATGCTTTGAGAACAGTACAAGAAGATACTGGCGTACTGCTGCGTGCAATAAGATATAATATCTGCTGTGTTGCTGATATCCGTCATAGGAAGGGATCATAAACGATTTCATTTATACATTACTAACTGTTTTTGCTAACCAGTATATCATATAAAGGATTTCTAAATGAAATTAGCTTCGGGACTTTTCTGTGAAGATGTAATCTTGGATATGAAACGGTATTTAGTATCTGGAACCCCGCAGTAAATCTAAGAGAAATGTAATTGACAGAAAAAGTCAATATGTCTTAAATGTTTTTAAAAGTACAAACTGCGGATCATAAATTAAGAACGAAGTAGTCCTTCCCGTGGATTTCATGAAATGTTCTGATTAACGTATTGCCGTTTAAGTGCAAATCGAAGCTTATTCGAGGGGTTGAACATGGAGAAATAACAATGTCATTAGCACACCTCTAGCTTCTTGTTACAATAATCACAACAGGATGTCCTGTTAGCGTGTAAAGTTCGAGCTAACGAAATAAAATGAATGTTTATTTTGATTGGTTTGGAGTTATACAAATACTGTTATACTCAACTAATTACTGAAAATCGTTCAATAATCTCAATCGTCCTTTAATTGATCATCACAAATCTCCACGTGTTGTTTCTAAACAATTATTTGAACTGTATAGATTATCATTTTTTTCATCGTGAGCACGTGAATAAAATCAAACGTCGCCATAGGTGGACTTAGGTTTTTATCCACTGTTTTATTTTTATACGGAAGAGCATAAGGGTCACGTAAAAATCTCTCTTTTTTGTGACATTAACTCGTAATTTCGGGATAATAACTTCATATTTCGACTTACTGTCATTATCTCGAAATTTTGGGTAGCTGTTTTCCTCACAATATTGATGGTGAACTTTTATTTTCTTCTGCGTATTACGAGTATTTCAGTGTTTTGTTGTTCCGATTCATCACGTCACCTAGTGCGAGGAGACATTCCATTTGAAGCAAACATTTCCAAATTCATTCAATGGTATATATAATTGTACAGTGACAATGAAGTTGATGTTTGTCTGCTTTGACAAATAAAACAAATTGAATTGATCAGTCTATTAGATCCATGCCATTGTAAAAAAAAAACATACAAAGGCTGCTTTGTGAATTGTACAACCCTAAAATTGATGACCTGACGTTATGACGTTTTTTATTTGTGAAATTGCAGTTTTGAAGACAGGAAGATAATCTATTCATAGAATTCACTGTCTGCGTTTGTAAAATAATATCCGCTCTTTGAATGTGGATAATCAACAATTACATTTTATTAGCGGATTGAATAAGTTAAATTTGGTCCATACTCTAACTAAGGAAGATATTTTTTAGAATCACCTCGATCATTATATATAATTGTTATCTATACATGAACAAGATAGTTTTCCCTATATCACACCGTATGATTATTGAAATGACACTGATGACTTAATTTATACCATATGATCGATCCTTTTCACAGGAGAAATCTTTTTTACGATCCAGTAATATCAACTTGATATGATTTGCAAAATGCATAAATTAACACTCTTTTAGACTATCCATGCTAGTTGGTTACAAGGCAAATCAGTTAGATCTGGCTTGCCTGTAAAAAACCTGTTTTGCCTGTAAAAGACCTGTCTTGCCTGTAAAAGACCTGTCTTGCCTGTAAAAGACCTGTCTTGCCTGTACAAAACTGACATTATTAAGACTTTATTACTCTACGTTGTAGAAGAATATAGATGTAAGATAATAACAAAAACACAGGGACCGGTAGCATGTCTACATATCTGTATTTGTTACACCCGAAAAGTTTGGTATATAAGTAATTATATAAGGTGTTTTTATCAATAATTAATTATAATATCAATTGGGCATATTGGTTTATCATTTACTTAGTATTAGTTTAACATAGAAACAGGGGGCATGTGTGTATCTACCGCCTGGAGTAGGCTTATGGGTTTATCATTTACTTAGTATTAGTTTAACATAGAAACAGGGGCATTTATGTATCTACCGCCTGCAGTAGGCATATTGGTTTATCATTTACTTAGTATTAGTTTAACATAGAAACAGGGGCATTTATGTATCTACCGCCTGCAGTAGGCATATTGGTTTATCATTTACTTAGTATTAGTTTAACATAGAAACAGGGGGCGTTTGTGTATCTACCTCCTGCAGTAGGCATATTGGTTTATCATTTACTTAGTATTAGTCTAACATAGAAACAGGGGGCGTTTGTGTATCTACTGCCTGCAGTAGGCATATTGGTTTATCATTTACTTAGTATTAGTTTAACATAGAAACAGGGGGCATTTGTGTATCTACCGCCTGGAGTAGGCATATGGGTTTATCATTTACTTAGTATTAGTTTAACATAGAAACAGGGGGCATTTGTGTATCTACCGCCTATAGCTATGCATCCCAGGAGTTCGTTCCACGTTTTCGAAAACGGCTGTCTATGATATAAATCTATATATAATTCGTTTGTTAGAATTTCATTGAATTATGGGTTCATATCAAGAGAAAGTGAAACACATGCCACATCATGGGAAAATACCGCACAATACGTAATGAGATTAAAAGCATCAATCAAATCTCGTTGACAACCCTTATGTAAATTGATATCTTCACTCATCAGTGACGTATATGTATATATCCTGCACCGTTTGCTGCAGCAAACGTTGGTGTAAGCTTGGTAGTTTGACTAAAATAGTTAATGTTGTATTTGGTTTTCCAATAAAACGGACAATTTGGTTCGGCAATAAAATCAACCAATGTGCAATGTTTGGAATAATATTTGAGGGCATGAAATCAATATATTGTGTTACAAGTAAATGTTAAATGCAACAAATATTATAGCTTTATAACAACGACTTGGTAATCTAACAAATATTGATAAACTAGAACTCAGGTCCGTCCGCCTGCCAATTATTTCAAGATCATTCGGCTTCAGTATCGCCTATCATTTTTGAATGACAAGTCATCTTCGGACACTGGATAAAGAGCGGAGTCACAGGGGATCGGATGGCACGCAATTTCCTTCACGCAGACTATTAAATGCGGTCAAGCGATCGCTGAATGTCGGCCGTCCAACACATTTGGCAATCTGCTGGAGTAGGAAACACGTCTCCAGAGTGCACTAAAACATTACATCCCATCTCCCGGCGTACCACACATATCTACGAGAAAATGTAACTTCGCGCATTAAATAATCGTTACGTCTCATAAAATTCCTCACTATTGTCAAGGTCGAAGTGAAACGTCGAATTAACATCTGCTTTACAAAGACGCTTGTTAAATCAATTATACACATATATACGGTTCGACTATTGGTACAGACATTAGACCGCTGGTTACTTAAAATGCCGGTTATATTTGTCGTGTACAACTATACAAATATGATTTACGACGTTGGTTCAGGGAATTTACGACCTTGCGAATCCTCTGAGGATTCAGAAAAGACTCGTATGAAACATACAAACGATGATATAAGTTGTCATATGAGCGTGTTTATCCACTCAAGAGAGGCCCAAAGAGGTGTTATACTATAAGTCAGTGATGATAGTTTTGCGGCATATATATAGGAACTATTTTTCTCATAGCTTAGACATATCGTTAGCTTGATTTTGAATAAAATGCCCGTAACGAGTGTAGCGGGACTCCGCCCAGACCTGTGGGTCTAGTCTCCGCCAAGACCTGTGGGTCTAGTCTCCGCTCAGACATGTGGGTCTAGTCTCCGCCCAGACGTCTCCGCTCAGACATGTGGGTCTAGTCTCCGCCCAGACCTGTGGGTCTAGTCTCCGCTCAGACATGTGGGTCTAGTCTCCGCTCAGACATGTGGGTCTAGTCTCCGCCCCAGACCTGTGGGTCTAGTCTCCGCCCAGACCTGTGGGTCTTGTCTGGTTGTTGTGCTGTTAGTACGTAGTGTGTTAAATAATTCATCTTCGTTCATTTATTGTGTTTTTAATTTAAGGGCAGGCGAACAAAGGGATAACAAAAATAATAGAAACACCAAATATGAATTATACAATCTCGCCTACCACTAAAGCCACTTCTTATCATTATACTGTTTAATGAGCAGGCCATAGTTTAGTATCAATTACACTTTGTCCGATTACAGAATTGTAAACAAAAGAAATGTACATTGAAAAGTTTCATTCTGCAAGTATGGCATATTTAAAGTGTACAACTGAAGAAAAAATATTCCGCATTTTCTAGTTCAAAAATTACGCCAAAACATTCGGTTGGAATGGGGATTTTTCATCCGATCCGCCGTTATTTTTCATCTTTATCGCTTTATTGAAATGCAATGGAAATGCTACATGACCACTAACAGACATGGGAGCGGGTTAGAAACAAACAGTATCAATGTAATACAAACGTTAGACTGATAGCGAGGATAAGGTGAAAAATGCGCTTGTAAATTAAAGCACGAAATTTGGCATACAGATATGTTGGGAATCCCTGATTACTTATCGATATCGGGGCATCATCTCGAAAAATTACGACTTCTGGTTTTATTTAGGGTTGCGCCGTGCATATTTGAAAAAATAGACTCTGATAGCGCAATATGTTTGGTTGTTTCTGCACGTAACGTTATTTGGGTACGTAGGGGCCTCCTAATCAATATATATATGCAAATTTAGCTTCCACTTTTATTCAAGATGACTACAGTGAAACTATAGAAACATATTCAAATAAAAGTTAGTTTCTTTTTTAAAATGAACGGAATTTGATAAACAAATAATCTGTTCCTACATGACCATTTATCGATATCAAGACACCTCGAACAAATTATATATCCAATTCAATAGTAATGGCAATCGTGAATATCAACAAAAAACAGAAACTGTGTGTTTCTTTATATAAATATATGGAATTTCGTTAAGATGTTTTCTACAGCCTGGTCAGTAAATAAAACGTTTAAAATACTTACTATAGATATTGTGGACATTGAAACACACCCCTGCAGGTGGGGGATCGGGAAAAGAATACACCTGCTGTTACCCACTGCATGTATCGTAGGGTAGGAGGCGACTGATGAGAGAACCCCCTGCCGAATTGGGGATTTGCTTTGGTGTCCTCTATTTGCGGACACAAAAGCGACCAAAATAGTCGTTTTTCCCTGCTTAACGTTCAGCTTTTAGGGGAATGGCAACAACTTATTCACCCATTGTCAGTATAATGTGACCGGGCGGAATGCTGTGATGGGTACATTCGGCATGGTATTTCAGTGCGATAACACTATAAAGTCGGGATCAGATCCGCGGTATCACAAGGAGGGAAGCACACCAACATACCCTGTCTCTTGCATACACACACTCAAGCACTAATACACTACACACATTCACGTCCTTAAATGACCTTAGCTGTTAAAAGGACGTCAAACAAAACCAAACATGGAAACAGTGTCACATCTGTTTAAAGTCTCATTAATCTATCAAATTATCAATTAGTCTACGGAATCCAACGACTCGATACATTCAACTTCCAACTGGTTCATATACTCTTATCAAACACATCATTCACTGGATTTTCTGAATGGCGCAAGTGGCGATATGGGGCAGAAATGAGTTGGTGTCAGAAATGCTTTATTAGCATACTCATGAATAGTGTAGCCAATCACGATCTTATCAAATTTATGACTGCTGCCCGACAAAGTACAGTTGTTACATAAAGTTCATCTTCACTGGACGCGTTATCGCTTTCAAATATTTTTTGAGGTCGATTTCGAATCGAAGCTCACCATTTATATCTATTGGAGCACCTTTTCATATTTTTGTCAGGTCACACAGCTTAGATCATTTTTATCATCAACTTTCCTTAAGGCCAGAGAACAAGTTGATTTTAATTTTAAAGGTCGGTGAAGCGACGTGTGATCAATCAGACGCTCTTTCTTAAATATTTTAAAGATATTTGTTTCGATCGCATTAGGGGGAGGGGGCACTTTGGCTGTTGAAGATCTCCTTTGTATCCAGGACAAATATGCCAAGGTTGCCGTGGTAAATATGTATAACAAGGAAACAGTTTTGTCTAATGTAAAATATGAAACTAGATAATGGAAAAAATAAAGGAAATTATTTATTAACACCAGCAATACTGTGAAATCTGATATTCTTGTGGCGCCTAAAATTCGTGGTTTTCCAATAAAGCAACACTTCGTGTGTACGTGAATTCGTGGACTACGAGAACCCGCTCAAACGGAGAATTGCTTTATTTCAAATTTTCATCTACCTCGTGGACGTTTGAATGCCTGGACAATGATAACCAGCAAAGTCAACGACATTACAAACCCCACGTAAATGAGAGATTTCACAGTAAAAAATATTCAATTATATATATAATGATATTGCTAAATCCTTTACGTTACCCCTAAGACATTCAGGAATAATTCTCTATCGCGTGATACGATATTGTTTCTTATTATAAATACATAAAAATACAATATTAAAGCCAGTGGGAGGATATGAAAGCTTCTATGATGGTATCAAATGCGTTAAGTTTTTTATTGCTCTTGGACTTATCGACAGGAAAACCTTACTACACTGGCATCCAGCTAATCAGTGATACAGGTCATGCGTACCAAAGGTATAATCCCATTTGACTGAATTATTGGTGTTTGGTGCTATGTAGCCATCAGATCATGGAAACCGAGGCACAAGCGTTAATGTGTATAGTTATTTATTAGTTACAATCAATGCAATATAAGATGACAGCATGTCATCAGGTCGAGTTTCTCCTTAATTTAACTAGGGCATGGCCATATTCAATAGTCGTCTCTAGTGGACAATTTGAACATCTGAGTCATTTTCGGGAAAATAAGTCTGTTGTTTAATTGTGCAAGAAAACCCTTATCCTAATTATATTTTGACATTGTTTTTGCTAGCTAAGTTTTTCGAATCGATACTGATAATTCTAATAAGTTGTAATGCCATATAATAAAAAATCCATCAGACATGCTTGATTGCCTACATTCTTGATACAAACATTAATTGTGTCGCTAGTTCAGTAAGAAAATATAGCAATATTGCCTCACTGTTAGTATTGCCATTTTCTGTTTTTCTAATTTCAGGCCAATTTCGTTTTCCTGTGCAATATAGTCCGTCTCTTGATCACAAAGCTGAGACAGGTTCCAGAGGCTACTCAAACAAAGTACGTATAACATATCCCACAGGCAAACAAAGTACCTATAACATATCCCACAGGCAAACAAAGTACGTATAATATATCCCACAGATAAACAAAGTACGTATAACTTGTCCCACAGGCGAACAAAGTACGTATAACATAACACACAGGCAAACAAAGTACGTATAACTTATCACACAGGCAAACAAAGTACGTATAACATATCACACAGGCAAACAAAGTACGTAAAACATATCCCACAGGCAAACAGGTACGTATAACATATCCCACAGGCAAACAAAGTACGTAAAACATATCCCACAGGCAAACAAAGTACGTATAACATAGCACACAGGCAAACAAGTACGTATAACATATCACACAGGCAAACAAAGTACGTATAACATGTCCCACAGGTAAACAAAGTACGTAAAACATATCCCACAGGCAAACAAAGTACGTATAACATATCACACAGGCAAACAAAGTACGCATAATATATCCCACAGGCAAACAAAGTACGTATAGCATATCCCACAGGCAAACACAGTACGCATAACATATCCCACAGGCAAACAAAGTACGTATAACATATCCCACAGGCAAACAAAGTACGTATAACATATCCCACAGGCAAACACAGTACGCATAACATATCCCGCAGGCAAACAAAGTACGTATAACATATCACACAGGCAAACAAAGTACGTATAACATATCACACATGTAAACAAAGTACGTATAACATATCCCACAGGCAAACAAAGTACGTATAACATGTCCCACAGGCAAACAAAGTACGTATAACATATCCACAGGCAAACAAAGTACGTATAACATATCACACAGGCGAACAAAGTACGTATAACATATCACACAGGCACACAAATTACGTATAACATAGCACACAGGCAAACAAAGTACGTGTAACTTGTCCCACAGGCGAACAAAGTACGTATAACATAGCACACAGGCAAACAAAGTACGTATAACATATCTTACAGGCAAACAAAGTACGTATAACATATCCCACTGGCAAACAAAGTACGTATAATATATCACACAGGCAAACAAAGTACGTATAGCATATCCCACAGGCAAACTTAGTACGTATAACATGTCCCACTGGCAAGCCTACTGCATCGTGTATCGTTAGTAAATATACGTATTTTCTAAAGAATCTCGCTGGAGAAATGATTTGATTTCACTGTGAAGGAAGATTAAATAACGTCTGTCATTATTGTTTAAAGTATGGCATTTACTACGGATCTAAGTGTAGGTCAGTTTTTATTATGGGTATATATTCATGGTTTTTTTTACTATGAGTTGGCATAACATATGTATTTTACTATTTTAATCAATATTCATGTTTTATTTTCTATTGATCTTTACACAAATAAATTAACATAATTCTACAACAGAATATGTTATAGGTCTGTATACAAGTTGTATTTTACTACGGTTCTGCATTGAGGTTATATTTGGTATGGGTTTGTATATAGGTTATACTTCACTAAGAGTTAAGTTAAATATACTTTAGTTTGTGACTCTATGCAAGATATTTTGTTGATGTTACTATGCCATTTGTATGTGACAATAGAGAATGCTTTGCTTTGCAACTGTGTGTGCTGTATAATCTTAATTCTTTTCTGCAAAACATTACCAAATTCTTATGACAAGGTAGTGAATTGGATATCATGTGAAATTGACCAGAAACAGAGACCGTGTTCCGTAGCCTATTTTGTATGTTTATATATAGTGAGCTTTTGCAGCAATTGATCTAGAGAAATTGTTCAGATTTATGCACATTAACTAAATGTTTACTCGCAAATTCTGATCAGAAATTCATCATGCTATAAACGAATTGAAAAAGGTTTATGAACGGTTATATTTTGTTGAGTTTGGAATGCTCCATTCTTAACGATCCTTCGTTGAATGTCTGCTTTACCAAAGGTAAATCAATAAGATGAAAGCATTCATGGGAGTGACGGAATTTGTATTGACGTTGAATTGAAAAGGTCGGATTCAATGTCAAGGTCATTCAATTGACCAGTTGCTATATGATAGGCATAATCTCTTTGCAGTGATGGATTTAACTCAGAATGTGCTTTCTTTGTGGCTTCGAAGACACAAATGAATACCGAAGGGTCAAAGGTCAACATAAAGGAAGTCAATAATTTGAAGTATTTACATTTCTCTTAAAACTGCATGTAATATAGACGTAGATCGCGTGGTAGAGTTAGCCTATAACATTGGAATCGAGAGCCGGTGGTGACGGATTTAACTCTAAGCGTTCTTCTGGTCGAGTAGAAAATGACAGTAATACGGTGGTGTTCCTATGGTGATCGGTCTAATTGATCATAACATCGTCACAATTTAGTTCGGAGACACACGTACTGACATTATATCCTGGTGTTTTTAGGAAAATTAATGTGCAGTTTTGTATCTGCAATAACTCCTCGTTAATTCGAATGTTATTACTTTTTAATATACAAATATATACAGTATAACCTGTCAAAACCGCCCCTGTCTAATCCGGATCCCTGTCTAAACCGGTTGTGGTTTGTGGTCCCGGCATATTCCCTATATAATCATAGCAGTTAAACCCTGTATAAACCGAACCCTCTCCATTCCGAAAAACGGTGTTGTTTCACAAAAGTTGGCATAGTAATTCATGTAAAAACAACCTGTTAATTCCGGTCATGCCATTTCACTCGGCCGGCTACAATCTAAATCAAACACTTTCTTAACGAATTAGCGCTATCCAATGTTGGATCGCCCTTCATATGTATTATAGACTGTGTATTTTGTTAATAATTTAACATTGCAATTGATTCATTTCTCTGTTGTATATATTGACACTTGCATACAGATCTTATGCAAAACACTCCATTTTTGTATTTTCAAAAATTGACATACCGACCCTGTATAAACCGGACACCTGTTTAAACCGGACAAATATTTTGGTCCCGGTGACATCCGATTTAGACATGTTATACTGTACATATTAACATTTTTAACCTGTTAAAATCGACTCCTTGTAAGACAGACAGTTGTTTGACTAGTCATCTGTCTCATTGTGGAAAATAACACATCGTCAAATGCTTAAACTTGCAGCTCCATCAACAAATTATTTTTTATTTTCTCTTAACAACATGTATATATATATATATATATTATATGTCTTTTTGGTATCAAGATAAAAGGTTAGAATTTAAACCATTAATTCAATTATAATAAAAATGGGTATTAGTAGTTGTTTACCCTAATTTGATTATTAATTTAATAATACCAACTTGTTTATATGTGTTTGTATGTGTTCTACATGTAGTGTCTATGCTTGTACCACTGTTTGTCACTGTGTTTGGAGAGGACTTAAATAAGCTGTGCCTGCTGCCCAATCCATTTGTCCTTTGACGATAAAATTTATTGAAATTAAATGAAAATTGAACACATCGGTCAGATTTATTCATCCAACACACAGTTAGATACAACATATTGGTCAGAATTCAAACGCATGTTTTGCCTATTCATTTATTTCTTTTTTCATAAGCAAAGGTTGATGATATAGCGTTATATCAGAGTAAACAGAATGTCAGGAGACTAGGCATCGGGTTAGACTGACATTCCAGTGTGTAAAAGCTATGATGTTTGTATTTGTTTCACGACATTTTTCTTTTACTTATTTTTGTCTCTCCACATTCGTGAAAGGACATTTTGTCAGATGTTTGCAATTAAACAGCATCAAAAAGGAAAGCAAACACAACTGTCCATACATATTTACCGTCTTAACACGTATGGAAACAGACTGCATGTATTATCTACTTGTAAAATATCGCATGCTGTTAGTATTAACAGAAAAGGTCGAACATATTCCTAAGGGCGAGAGATGACATAAAGACCATTTGCTATTGATTCAATTACCTCGATTTTTACTGGTCAAACAATCCTCAAAACTAGGGCGTAAAAAGCATACGTTTGATTACCTGTTTAGCAAGGTTATAAAGAAGACAAACCCATCCCACAGAGAACGAACACGAACGTTATATGAGATTACTTCTCTTGTGTATCATAAACCTTATCAGGTCTTGTTACTACAATAATCCGTTAGATAAGACGCAAATGTTTAGGTCCCGTGTCTCTCCCGTGCCCATAAAAAAAACACATCTGTGAAGATCAGGATTAGATCATTCTACTAATGTCGGAGACGATTACTCCAGAAAAAAATTACAGGTGGTTAGATGGCATGATATTAGATAAGAATAACTGGATGAAGGATCCGTAAATACCTCCTGATTCTACATGTATCTATAGAGTGTAAATCATACATGTAACCCATTAAGTTCAATTGCTATCATGACACCATTTTTAATTTATCCAACACAATACGGAAGCTTCATAATCGTGTTTCTTTATCACTGTGTTAGTCAGTAATTGTTCTGTTATGGGAACCTTGCACAAGATGGTATTTATTTTCTGTCTGCAAAGCTGTGAAAGACTTATATATGGAGACCTACTTTGCTTGGCATAGTCATGAAGCCGTTCAATCTGTTCAATTTATTTTCTTTTGTTTAATCCAGGAAGGCTGCGCGAGCTACGTTAATTTTGATCCCTCTGTTGGGACTTCAGTTCCTTCTCGTTCCCCTACGTCCGGAGATAGGATCCGACATGGAAACAGCGTACCACTACATCAGCGCACTGGTCGTATCGTTACAGGTATGTTTTATTCATCGCTGCCACGCTAGCAAAACCATGGAAAATCATCAAACATATATTATAAATAAAGCTACAAAAATAATAGAAAAATCCAGAATTAAAAGAAAAGCGCACCTATATATATATAAACAACAGAATAAGTGCGTTGAACGTCTCTCACATTTAGAAATACGCCTTGACACAGTAACACGTCAATGGTCTCCTCTCTACATATTGCAAAGCACTACGAAACAAAACCGCATAAGTGTTCTTTTGACACATATCAAAGACGCATGGGTCTCGTTACATATAGCAAAGCACTATAACACCGTTAAACCTTGGTTACCTCTTTACATATAACATAACGCTCTTTTACATTTACACGTTTCTTATATCTTACACATAACAGAGCACTTTTGCACAGTTAAACATAACCTTCTCCCACATAGAAAAAAAACACTGTTTCTTAAACACTGATACCCATTGGTTGTTTGATAACATAAAAGAATATGCCACTCCTACATTGACATACAACAACGTTACTAATCACACTCGTTATGCTACAAGACAACACTAATTTATAACACAGTGACTAGTCACACCGGTAACATAGATGTACAGGACAAATCAAATGTTGGTAGACATAAAATGTAGCTATCGTTAGAAATTATAGAGTAAAATTTAACCACATTCAGACATTGAGTTAATGTACTAACATTAGTTCCAATTTTTCACCAGAACAACAAAACATCGTAAGTAAGACGTCATTATATTAACACGGATGAAAGACAAACTTTATAAGCCAATATATTGATATTAATCAAATGAAAGTTTGCTTTATGATGCAGTTTCGTCACAACATTGGGTTATATACAGTTCTCTCATACATGTAATGCCGATGGTCATGTTGACCAATTAACTACCTGGTCAAGGTTTATTATCATGAGGATTTCAATCCACGCTGATTCTCTGTAAAATGTCCCCTCAGTATATATATAACCAAGCTTTGTTCTACGATACAACAGAAATAGCACCACGGTATTTCTTATCCTGTCATCAAACAATTCGCATATCAGGGTAATCGAAGATTTTTTCATGGATACGAAGCTACCAAAGGTCTTGTAATGACAGCTTTGTATAATAAAACCATCTTGAAATAGACTTTATGCTGGTATAGGAAAGATCCAGGAGTAATAATACTTGGAATCCCTATAGGGATGATGGACCATCACAAAACATTTTAGTTTCGTAATACCAGACTTTCCGGGCACTCTGTGGATCAATGTCTCGCTGCTAAACAACAGCAGCGCCCTCTTGTGTGAGGTGAAGTAGTCAACACTGTCATGGTTTTAACAACGGGAATGTGAGTTCATGCTCGGTACAAACATAGTTTGCATGCTGGATTAAAAACGTCGGTGTCAATTCATAAGCGGAATCATTCTCGGTTTTCGTTGAAGACCTACATGTATCTAGTAATCCATCTTAAGCCAATTACTACATTTTGTAACTTTACGATCATTCGGGTTCGAGCGTCACGCTTGTTTACTTTAACCGTCACGCCTTTTGGTCGAAATGACACACTATTGGACTCAATACAGCTAGATCTAAATGTCCAACTTTTCGGTCTGAACATTATACTTTAAGGTTATATATTTACACGTATATATATTGTACATGTACAATATCTCAATAATTGTTGATATATTTGTCATATATTCGTTGTGCCTGTATGACTTTATCATGTGACTAAACTGAAAATTAAAAGAAAGAAAAAATTAAAGAAGTGCTCTTATCCACTGGGATTTATTAACACATAAATATATCTATTTATTTCAGCGATTAAATGTTGTCTTTAAATATTTTGAAGAAAAATCAACATTGTGGTTATATCAACAGTATGTGATTCCCTGGTAAAATACTAGACGCTTCCTTCCGACTCGGCTAGGGAGAATTTCTCTTTAGCTCATTCGGTACCGACTCGGCTAGGGAGAATTTTTCTTCAGCTCATTCGGTAGAGCGTAAGACTAGTAAACCAGAGTTCCCGGATTCGACTCCTAGCGGAGTCATTAACAATATAATGACCACTACTGTTGCATATGCCTTGTAAAATTACTAACAAAATATATATAGCATGCAGCGAGGAAAATTTATATCATATCTTCAACACCTCAAAATGTATCACCGTCCACACAGGGGAACAAAGTGTAATACACAGTCTATACATGAGGACAGAAAGTACCGCAGAGTAATCATTCTAAACCATCAAAATATGAAGACAAAAATATCACACTCACACCATACAGGGAAAAAAACAATTACCAGAGCATCTACAAACGAGCAAACATACCACAGTGTCAACAAGCAATGACAGATAATTCAAGTCGACATAAAAATAGCAGCAGGCACGGGAGACAAAACACATATCACAAACCCCACGAAGCCGTGTGTTCCGGAGAATTATATATTTCCTACACGACATGTGACACCTGTCATCATATCTCCTGTCAAATCCAAGAAATATTAACATACAATTTAAGCCATAGTGAATAAGTTTTTTTTATCACGGTAGACGCTTAAATCTCATAAATATATAAAGTAGAAAATCAGGTCATAATAGCGGCTATACAATTTGACAGTGTACATTCAGGTCTCTCAGGTAGAAACCCCTGGATAAGTCGTTGATAGAACAAATGCAGCCCACGATCTATTACACAGCTTTTGACAGTCTCTTATCATTAAGACGTTATCTGGAAACCATGTCATGATAACAATTCTTCTGCTGTGCAATGGGGGTAAAAGGCATTGTGAACACGAGTACGGATAGGTCATGAGTATCCTTCATAAATCTGATCGACGTTCCTGTAGGCATTCTGTTGACCATTGTCTAGTGTTAATAACACAGAACAAGGTCACCTGTCTGGTCAAGTCACCAGGTCTGGCTGTGGCAGGACATTGTGAACACACAAAAGCGTTAAATCAATAAAAACCTAATTGAACACCAGTGGCTTTACTATGAGGTTTCCAAGACGTTGTATATGTTCTATGTTTGTAGGGGTGGTCCAGGGGCACCACGTGGTTAGTTGAGCAATAGTTACCAATCACAAGTATGTCTTCTCTGTCTGTTTGTATGTCTCTCCACGCGAATTATTACTCTATCAGCGCAGCAGAGAGACCTCGTTGTTTTATGAATAGCACTAAATGGAATGTATGAGATATACAGGATCTTTCAAGATGTCGTCTATCGAAAACGAAATACGAAAATGATTGTCTGCAAACTACTCAGGAAAAGGCGTCAAGACATCGCTGTTAACCCAGATGTCACTCCATCAACACTACTGCACGTTTGGGGATCATTATACTGTCATCTTCTGTATTATCGCAGTAGGCTACCGACAATGCGGGTCTTCTACTTAATCTGTCCTGTGTGCTCTGTCATTGCGAGCTTCTTCTTTTCCTAGCACCTTTTTACATATAAAAAAATCCTCTTAATTTACCTTTTATTGTTACCTTTGTTTTCGACATTTACATCATCATAAATCCAATAAGCAATTGTCAATGATACATCAGACAGACATTCATTATGACGTCACAATGGTGTACACAATATTTACGTCATAAACAACATAAAAACACGTATTTTAAAGCGAAATCGACAATTTTTGATTTTAGTGAAATACATGTAGGTTACATTGATTGAATGTTGGATAGAAACTAAATTCTTTGCAATTTCAGTCAATAAAGAAATGATAAATATGGAAAAGAAATATTCAGCTAAATTGTTGTATTTTGATTTTAGGGGGCGTTTGTTTCTACGATGTACTGCTTCTGTAACAGTGAGGTAAGTAACACTGTACACGTTGGTGATATACATGTTAACAGTGAGGTAAGTAACATTGTACACGTTGGTGTTGTACATGTTAACATTGAGGGAAGTAACACTGTACACGTTGGTGTTATACATGTTAACAGGGAGGTAAGTAACACTGTACGCATTGGTGATATACATGTTAACAGTGAGTTAAGTAACACTGTACACGTTGGTGATATACATGTTAACAGTGAGGTAAGCAACACTGTACACATTGGTGTTATACACGTTAACAGTGAGGTAAGTAACACAGTACACATTGGTGTTATACATGTTAGCAGTGAGGTAAGTAACACTGTATACGTTGATGTTATACATGCTAACAGTGAGGTAAGTAACACTGGACACATTGGTGTTATACATGTTACCAGTGAGGTAAGTAACACTGTACGCATTGGTGATATACATGTTAACAGTGACGTAAGTAACACTCTACACGTTAGTGTTATACATGTTAACATTGAGGTAAGTTACACTGTACACGTTGGTGATATACATGTCAGCAGTGAGGCAAGTAACACTGTACTCGTTGGTGTTATACATGTTACCAGTGAGGTAAGTAACACTGTACGCATTGGTGATATACATGTTAACAGTGAGGTAAATAGTACTGTAATAAAGATAGTACGAAGGTAGATATGTTGTCAGCAATGAGGTAAATACACTGTAGTATCTTGGCATAGATATCAACAGTGAGGTAAGTAACACTGTGCACGTTGGTGATATACATGTTAACAGTGAGTTAAGTAACACTGTACACGTTGGTTTTATACGTGTTAACGGTGAGGTAAGTAACACTGTACACATTGGTGTTATCCATGTTAACAGTGACGTAAGTAACACTCTACACGTTAGTGTTATACATGTACAGTGTTACTTACCTCACAGTTAACATGTATAACATCAACATGTACAGTGTTACTTACCTCAATGTTAACATGCATAACACCAACGTGTACAGTGTTACTTTCCTCACTGTTAACATGTACAACACCAACGTGTACAGTGGTACTTACCTCACTGTTGACATGTACAACACCAACGTGTACAATGTTACTTACCTCACTGTTAACAGGTATAACACTAACGTGTACAGTGTTATACATGTTAACAGTGAGCTAAGTAACACTGTACACATTGGTGTTATACATGGTAACAGTGAGGTAAGTAACACTGTGCACGTTGGTGATATACATGTTAACAGTGAGTTAAGTAACACTGTACACGTTGGTTTTATACGTGTTAACGGTGAGGTAAGTAACACTGTACACATTGGTGTTATACACGTTAACAGTGAGGTAAGTAACACCGTACACATTGGTGTTATACATGTTACCAGTGAGGTAAGTAACACTGTACGCATTGGTGATATACATGTTAACAGTGACGTAAGTAACACTGTACACGTTGGAGTTATACATGTTAACATTGAGGTAAGTAACACTGTACACATTGTTGTTATACATGTTAACAGTGAGGTGAGTAACACTGTACACATTGGTGTTATACACGTTAACAGTGAGGTAAGTAACACCGTACACATTGGTGTTATACATGTTACCAGTGAGGTAAGTAACACTGTACACATTGTTGTTATACATGTTAACAGTGAGGAAAGGAACACTGTACACGTTGGTGATATACATGTCAGCAGTGAGGCAAGTAACACTGTACACCTTGGTGTTATACATGTTAACAGTGAGTTAAGTAACACTGTACACGTTGGTTTTATACGTGTTAACGGTGAGGTAAGTAACACTGTACACGATGGTGTTATACATGTCAACAGTGAGGTAAGTACCACTGTACACGTTGGTGTTGTACATGTTATCATTGAGGGAAGTAACACTGTACACGTTGATGTTATACATGTTAACAGTGAGGAAAGGAACACTGTACACGTTGGTGATATCCATGTTAACAGTGAGGTAAGTAATACTGTACACGTTGATGTTATACATGTTAACAGTGAGGCAAGTAACACTGTACACGTTGGTGTTATGCATGTTAACATTGAGGTAAGTAACACTGTACATGTTGATGTTATACATGTTAACTGTGAGGTAAGTAACACTGTACATGTTGGTGTTATACATGTTAACAGAGAGGTAAGTAACACTGTACACATTGGAGTTATACATGTTAAAAGTGAGGTAAGTAACACTGTACAAATTGGTGTTATACATGTTAACAGGGAGGTAAGTAACACTGTACGCATTGGTGATATACATGTTAACAGTGAGTTAAGTAACACTGTACACGTTGGTGGTATACATGTTAACATTGAGGGAAGTAACACTGTACACGTTGATGTTATACATGTTAACAGTGAGGAAAGGAACACTGTACACGTTGGTGATATCCATGTTAACAGTGAGGTAAGTAACACTGTACACGTTGGTGTTATACATGTTAACATTGAGGTAAGTAACACTGTACATGTTGGTGTTATACATGTTAACAGTGAGGTAAATAGTACTTTAATAAAGATAGTACGAAGGTAGATATGTTGTCAGCAATGAGGTAAATACACTGTAGTATCTTGGCATAGATATCAACATGTCAAACGTGAAATAAATATAAGTGATCATAGGGATATTAACATGTTATCAGTTAGGTATGTATCTCTAAATTAACTATTGTATATGTTTAATAGCTTGGCTTTCATAATTTTAATCTACATTGCTGAAATAATACCCAAAACTAAACTGATGCTTAATGCAAGAGTTTTTCGAAAGTTTATCAATAATTTGCTGACATTTCCGACCAGGCAAATTTTCCAAATAGTTATTAGGAATCGTATATACGTCTATGTAATGTACGTGATAAGATCTTTGCTAAAAAGATGATTGAAATGCAAGCTGATTAGCATTACGTTAAAAGAAAATAACATGATGAATAAAAATTTCCCAGAAAAATGAACCATTCGTAATGTTGTGTTGAAATATTCGAACTACTCGATCATCAGTGGTGACAACACAATCTTGCTACTGGATTTTTTTTTTTTTTTTTTGAACTATTTGAGGTGATGTGTTCGAACGGAATATCAGCGTTTTCTGGCCGAATACTTAGCGTCTTTTATGGTTTTGTTAACCGAATATGCATAGATTCAGTATCATATGAATTTATAGTTCGCTGACAAAATGCCAAAAAATAGTACATGATATTTAATATTATATATTTTAAGTAAAAACATACCTTAGTGTTCAATGTTGTTATTGCCATAGTTAGTACATTAAAAGATTTGTCATACATTGTCAACATTGTAATACATACACACTTAGAACTTGTTGTTGTTTACTATCAGGTGATATCGGTACTGAAGCGGAAGTGGTACCAGCACAAGGTCATGTTTAGTGGGAAACGCAGCCGTACGTCATCGACTATTGCTGCAACAACATACACATTTGTGGATCACGTGTCTACGGTGCAAACATCGATCACGTGATAGGTGGTTCACGTTCCGAGGAGAATCACATATTTATTACTGGACTGACAATAATTTATAATGTATGATTTCGTTCTGTATATTGTTATATTTGTTATATAAATATCATTGTTAACATGTAGTGAAGAGTCACGTAAGAAATAAATCATGTAGCATTTCCAGCCTAGTTGTTTTTATTTGTAATACGAATAATACGTATAAACATGTATTACTGTCGTCAAAGTACATTTATTCGCATCACGTGTGAGTAATGTACGTTGAATTAATACTGTATTCGTAGTTAATTTAACATAACGCTGGTATAATTTACTACGCTAAATATTGTATGCGTAGTGCTACCTTACAACGCTTCATAGCGTGTTATTTAATATTATTAATAATAATAGTTCGAGGTTCTTATATACCGCTTTATCGCAACCTAGTTCCTATGTCGTTTCAAAGCGGCTCACAAATTAAAGCCAATATATTTCTCAACTCCCTGGGGACCATACAGCCGAAGCTACCATTTCGGCGCTAACAGCTAGCATTCAACAATTCTAGCACTGCCCAACCACGTACTCATTTACAGCTGAGTAGACTGGAACAAGCGGAGTAAAGTATCTTGCTCAAAGATACAACACAGTGCCGGGACGTGACTCGAACCCGCAACCCTTTGGTCAGGAGCCCGGCGTCCTACCACTAGACTACCGTGTCTCCATATATTATTTAATAGTATAGTGTTGTCTGCGCGATAAGACGAATAAGTAAAATCAACAGGATGGGAAACTTTATCCATGATGCTAAGTCCGAAGGAGTTCTCAAATGCAATTCGACAATTCGCAGATTTTTTGCACTCATTCTAACCACAACGCAACATTTTCAAAAGAAAACTATACCAAACCTTCAGAAGAAGAAAACCTTACACCGAACTTTCAACAAAACAATTTTATTTCAACTAAATGTTGATTATACTAGGGCAAAATGTGAAAATAGGAAAGATTTAAAGTTGAAAAGTCTGTCTTTTCCTTGATTTTATGTTAAAGAGTGTATACACAATTGTGTTCGATCGACGTGGGCGATAAATATATCTCAATCCAAAACTTGCACATCGCCGAGCTATCTTATAGTGAAATTGGAGGGCATGGCACGTTACTGTTAACAGTACCGATAGGTTCTTTAAAAAATTCAGCATTATGTATAAAAGCAAAACAGTTTGGCAAGAAGAGGGACACAATTTGTTCCCGTAGGAACGACTACATCCTACAGAACATGCCGTCACCGAACTTAACAACAGGAATCGAACCTCTCTCACAATTTCATCCTCGACATATTTCATCCTGACGTTTGTCGTGAAAGAACGCCGCCGTTCTCTAATAACGAGAGCGTGCAATTCGAAGAAAGGCGAAATAAGTATAGGGTTATAAAGTATTTAGGCGCACATTTTGTAAATAGCACAACAAAAGCAAGAATGCAATGATCGAATTCCTGGCCGACATTATTTTGGTAAGCTCGGTAGCAGGACCTTCCAGCAGATTGTAGGCAATCTTATGGTAAAACACTGCGCTCCTCTTTTTGCTGATTCGTTTCTGTTTTCTTATGAATTTGAATTTAATATTGAGCTTATCAAGACGGGTACCGTAACAAAGCCCTAGCAAAGTCCTTCAGATCCACGTGCAGATAGATCCACGTGCAGATATACCGATAACGTGCCGTCCTTGAATAACAATAAATTTACTGACTACACCGATTGTATTAACCCTCCCGGGTTTGAAACCAAGGACACTACTGACTCCTCTTCTTGAAACAAGACAAGCAGAACCGACTTACTATTAAACTGTACAATAAACGGGAATATTTCTACTTTATGATCGTTATCTTTCTTTTCTTTACTGTAACATCCCCGTTTCCCATACCTGCGATCTTAACGTATTGCAATTGATTCGGTATCCAAGAAATTTGTCCGGATATCTTGACTCTCGTGATAGACGACGACCGCTGACGGACAAACTTACAACACAAGGTTACCATAGATGCGAATTAATGAAGACTATCGATAAGTTGTATGGCCGCCATCTTAGTCTAATAAGATAATTTGCTATTTTTTTCTGATATCAAGGTCGATAATTTTTTTACAATGCTGTATAATAAGCCTTGTGGTTTTCTTGTCACTGCTCGACTTAAATTTACGTGGTGGGTGTCGTCTATGAAGCAAAAGGCACTTACCCCTCTGGAACACCTGGGCCCGTATTCATGAAACCGTTCTCATGCTCAAGCATGGATTCTGTGCTCAAACCAGTTTTCTTGTAACTCACCTAAATGATGTCAAACGATTAAAAAGTCAAATGTTAACATTGAAACAGTATTTGGCTTCAAGTTTTTTCAATTATTTTTCAAAATCGTTGACAGAATTTTCTATTTTCGTTAATTAATAACTGGAACAAGAAATAAGGCTTGAGCACAGGATCCATGCTTGAGAACGGTTTCATGAATACGGGCCCTGGTTTTATTCTACTTGTAGTTTTGCACAGGTCGCCTTATTACATAATCATTCTTTTGTTCACATTCTGTAATTGTTGTATCGCTTTTGAACTCAAACAGTGTTTTTGGTTGAAACTTCGATATTCCATTGTTTTTTGTTTTTTTTCAAAAAGTATTCTTAAAGAAGACATCAATGCATTTATATTGCCGTTCGCCAACAAATAATAACTTTCCTGATATAAAAACAAATGCGTTTCTACAGTTTGGTATCAAGTACGGTAGTGTTGTTCATTTACACGGCACTTTAGATTTCAACGATGACATTAAGTGGCACGCCATGTTAAATTGTCAAAATATCTTCATCCCTGGAATATGTCATAATAAAATCGAAGGCGTAAAGTTAGCTATTTGACAGGTTTGATTTAAAAAAAAAATGCTGACCAATCGATAGAAGATACGTATCCTTTGAACAGATTTTGTCAATTTTGTCATGAAATATTCAGGAAACATAAATATTGTTGAGTTTTTCCTGAGGAGTTGAAAGACTCATTGCATTAAAGACGTCAATATGTATTACCAGCAAGTAAACTATCACTTTTAAAACTTTAAACATAAGCGTTGATCAATAGTACATGGACTGGAATGCTACAGGAACATTAGTACCTCTATAGCAAGCCATCAACATAATGTTGATTCGAGCGGCTTAAACTTGTTATTCTACAGAAACAGAGGTCATATGTCTAAGAGTATATAGTATTAAAACAGTTAGGGAAACTCGCGTCCCTAACGAGATATCAATTAATGGCATGGATAACAGAGCAAACCTCCCATGATCAACTATTTGTTGATTCGAGCGGCTTAAACTGTTATTCTACAGAAACGGAGGTCATATGTCTAAGAGTATATAATATTAAAACAGTTAGGGAAACTCGCGTCCCTAACGAGATATCAATTAATGGCATGGATAACAGAGTAAACCTCCCATGATGATTTGTGAAAGCCCATCACTCAGCTCGCGCACCAAAACCAGCTATAACGTATGGTTAATAGCTTTTCCATGGACAGCGGCCAAATATCTGCATTTTATAAACCATAATATTGCAACGTTTCAAACCATGGTGTTTGTAATTCTAGACAGATTGATAAATGATCTTAATCAATACGCTTGTACCCTGTTTCAATCCTTCTTACTGGTATTCTCAGCGTCGCCTCAGCAATGAAACTTGTGTGTAATTTGATTGAATTTCACCGACATGAAAAACATAGGGAAATATTGCATATTTAATATCTGTCGGTGCACAGGACCTCAAAGCAAACTTTATGGAGGTACAAAGTCTGATTGAAAAATGCAATATAGTCTCAACCATATTTCATTTCAATATATCGAAAAGGCATGTATCACGCGAACAAATTGTGAAAAGATATATAAAAAAACCTGGTGGATGTTAAATTGTGTTCTATACAAAGATGATTAATGCAAAAACACATAAAACTATGAACCAGATGTACATTTACCACTAAGACAAACGTATACCCAATACTAGCATATCTTTTAAAACCATCTCTAAAATACGACACTTCTTAAAACGTTCATATGTCAAAGTTATTACTGTCATTGGTAACTGAAACTGACACACATATTTAGCAAAAAAACTTATAATGAAGATTCTGTTACACATGCCAGTTTTAAATTGAATAAATAGCGTAGGAAAACAATGGTTATCCATATACAAATGATTGAAGTCAGTTCTCAGTATTGGTAATGAAAAATTTTAAAAAAAATCAATTTCTTCTATAACTTGTCGTAGAAGGTCAAATTCTACTTTCTAACGCAGATTTAAATGCAGTCTACTCATGATTCACTTATTCACTCTTAATTATATCCGTTTATCTGTACTGTTTTCGTGAAGTTCGTTTGTAGAAGATAGCTGTCCCTCTCTGTTAGAACACGTGAATGGTCGGAAACTGCTCTGGGTTTTCCGTCAAACTGTTTGAGTAATCGAAGATCGATCATGATTTAATTTAAGTCACGAAGGAAATTTCAAAACACGCACCTGTTCTTGCACAGATTGGCTGTTCTTCCGTTTTATAATTTATTTTTTATAAACATAATTAGTCCAAAATGAGACTAACAAATAGCAATAGCATAGTGTTGTCTTTGTTGCTTTGAATCCAAATATACGGATTGAAAAACGTCTATGGTAATAGAATGCAGTGTTAGTTTAACTGTATGATAAGCTATATACACTAAATAATGACATGCTGCAGAATACATTACATTTGATTTAGGATAGAAATGCATCATTTTATCATTTTTGATGGTATATATTATATGTGTGATGCGCGTGAGGGTTACTAGTGCCTCTTAGGAAATGTAAAAAGAGTAATACTACTGTAGACAAATTACGTTAAAGGTAGGAGTATGTAAGTGCCCTTGAGAAGTACACTTACTTCAGAAGAAACATAAGTGAGTTGGCCTCTATAGAAGACAGGCATACTCCCCCTACTACGGACGCTTGCGTCAGAACTCAGAGTGGGCTAAGATCGCTATAGATCTTACTGAGCACGTTAACATCAGAGTTAAGAGTAAGATATGGCCTAAACAAATGACGCTCACTTCAGGGTTAAGAGTAAAATATGGCCACTACAAATAACGCTCACTTCAGAGTTAATAAGTTATGGTCACTACAAATGACGC